GAAAATTTACAAGTGAACAAAAAAAAAAACTTGAAAGATGCCCAACAGCACTGGAGAACTGCCAGTTTAACTACAGTGAGCTCGGCCCAGCCGTTTATGTAGATTTTAATTACAAAAATGAAGAATAAATATTGTTCGGGAGGAGGAAAATTAGAGCCCTCTTACAATGATACTGAGTATGTGAAGTTGTGTGGTTTTAGAAATCACTTCAGAAGGACTAAATATATAATTACATATTATCCAGAAACTCTTTTCCTTTGCATATGTACAGAAGTATCAGAAATAGATGCCTAAGTGATACATGCTCACTAATGTTCACTGCAGCATTTTGCAATATTCAAAAGATGGGAACTAGGGAGGGGCCCATATGATCTTATGACATAAAAATGCATGCTCTGTATATGTAATAAAGTATTATCCAGCCACAAAAAGGAATAAAAATTGATATATGTTACATCATGAATAAACATTGAAAGAAACATGCTTTTCCCCAACCTTACTCTGCTAGGGCTAGGGAAATTATGAGGAGATTTGTACTATTATTTTTGTCGTTGTTGTTTTGTAAAAAATTTTTTAAATTAGAAATTAGAAAAGAGGCCGCAAGATGGAACAGGGGCCGGCACAATGGAGCATAAGCTATAGAGTGCATTAACCATAGTTTATTACAGAGGCGGGAGATCGAGAGGCGGGAGACAGACATGAGAAATGAGAAGAGGGGGGTAGAGAGAAGAAGGGGTAAGTGAAGAGCTTGGAGAGCATAAGTGTGGAGAGAGGAGTAAGAGAGAGTAGAGAGAGCGACTACGTGGAGGTGATCACTTAAAAGGGGAAGCTTACCCATGCTTACCGAGTCATTATGCAGCCCTGCAATGAGTGATGTAGTGATGGCGCGGCAAGCCACTGTGCATGCCCCACCTGTCGTCAGGGGGGTGGGGTCAGTGTGATGCAGGAAGTTCCAGCAGTTATTTTTATACTGTAAAGGTGAGGTGGCTTGTGTGCCACAGAGCAGATTTGTAGGTCACATGATAATGCTGTGGATTTCATTCTCTCCTTATACCTTCCGTGGATCCCAGGGATCCGACTGGAGCTCAAGAGGCTTGTGAGAGAGTGGCTCATACCCACTGAGCCATTTGCAAGATCTGCTCTTTTTTTTATTTTCAAGTTTGGAAATAAAGTTTTGATATGCATTACATGCCCTCATGCCTTCGCCTAAGTTCTTTTTACTGAGAGCCTTTTTATGGACATAGAGATAATTTATAACTTACTGTACTTTATTTTTTAATCATTTCCCAAAATTCATTTTCCCATACATTGGCTGAGCTTACAAATCCCAAGAGGTGTATTGGCTTTATAATGTAGATTTACAAACAACCTTATAAGTCAATCATATATGTTTTTCACTTTAGACATATCATTTAGCCTAGACACTGTAGTAATTTCTGAGAAGATAGTTTGACACTTCTGTAGTTGTGTACTAAGTAACAAGAGTGCGATGATAAACATGACAAGTATGATTTTTTATATCTTTTCAGCCAATTCCTGTCCCCAATAGTCTTCATAGCACTTCCTCTTTTTAGTCTTCACGTTGTCTGCTTTGCTTGTTTTATGTCTATCACCGGTGAAGAACACTGTGGCCATCATGAGACAATGATGGATATGGCCATCACTGTGTCTTCAGCCTCCAGTGTAGTGCTTGAGTGATACGGGTTTGGTGAATGTTTATCAAATGGGCTAACAAATCAGAAACCAGAACCCACACAAACTCAAGTTCATTGTTTTAAACAGCAGAAGGGTCAACAGTGTCAAATGCCAGTGACAGTACAAATAGCAGTGACATGAAGAGTGGGTCCACCTGTGATGGATGGTTTCTGTGGGGTTATCCTAAAGTACTAATTGAGTAGATCTGGGAGAGGTGTTGCTGTTTGAGGTTGTGTGTTAAGGAGCTGGAAATATTAGGGATTCCTTCAAGGACACTGAGTTCAGGAAGGGGCTTTTTATCCAATCTAGTGTTATAACTACAGTTGTCCAAATTAAAAGTGATCCTTTGGGGGAAAAAGTGATTCTTTGATGCTACAGAATGCATACGTCTCATCACTGCTTCAACTATGTTTCACATAAAGTTATTTGAATTTGGAACCAATCCAATTCTAGATTGCATTTGATCATAATATCCTTAAATCAAGTCTTTTTTTGAATAGAATCCAGTCTGTCAAAAGATGTACTTTACATCCCTGATAGAATTTTTCTTCCTTTTGGTAGAGTCAATATCTCAGTTTTCAGTGCTATCTGTAACTATAATGTAAAGTTGCTTTGTTACAGTTAGTTCCAGCTCTTTGATGATATGCATTTCTCTTTTGTGCAGGATCACAGCAGTGCGTGGGTCTAGATTTTATTCATCATGCTAATGTTGACACCTGAAATCAAGTGGAGAGGCTGATGTTTCCATGCAAATTTTTTTGCATTAACCTTTCATTCAGTTTTCCCAATTTGTCATTTTTGCCTGTTATACTTCATTAAATTTACAGAGATGTCTTGTTCCAATTATGTTACTGTATTTAACCACTGAAAAGATCCGAAAGAAGCACAGTGGATATAGAGGAAGTGCAGCTTAAGCAGGAGGAGTGTGTGCTGAGTGAAAAGGAATGACACCCAGTGCACGTGTGGCAGACTATCCGGGAGCTGTTCTAAGGGCCTTGCTGAAAATCACAGTAGCACAGAGAATATATCGTGCTTCACATCTATGAAGAACTGCTTGAGAGTTGTACTTTCTTTAAGAAATGTGGGTTTTTTCAAAATATTTGATACTGGCCTTTTGAACTTTTGAAATAAAAGTATTCAGCATTTCCAACATCACTTTTTGCTTTTTGTCAAGATTCCTTCTTGTTATCAATACATATTTTGTAATTTCTCTCTTAACACATGTGACGGGGAAATAGAAGGCAGGGTTGTTTGGAAAGGGAACCGGAAGTGGAAAGAAATGGTGGTGAGTTCACCAGCCATTGTCAAGTCAGTCACTGTGCAGTGCAGAGACACAAGCATGTATAGTCTCCTGCAGTGTGGGATGGCGTAATGGTGTGCTGCACACCTGCATTTCGCATTATGTACATGGGTTTGCGTTTTCCTATAGCTGACTCTCAGCTTTGTTGTACTCTATTGCAGAGAGTAGTAAATGCTGCCATTAAGCAAATAAAATGATAAATATCTGGCAGTTTGGCTTAGACACTAATGGAGTCTAAAAGCCTTTAAAATGACAAAACGCGGCAACTTTTATGATTTATAGGCTCATTTGTGTTACACAGTTTGGTCATATACTTGACAGTATTCCTCTTTTTTTTTTTAACTCTCTCCTAAAAAATTATGGTTTTGTGTTACCTGAGTGGAAAGCCATTAGAATTCAGGAGCAGAATATAACAGAGTATCAGCTAAGTCTCCCAGTGTTGTTCACAGTTTCCTTCTAGTCCCGCCCTGTTTGCACGGTCCTAAGGGAAAGGGAGTAATTCAGTTGTTCCCCAGTGGATACACTGCCTCAGAGGCCCTCTGAACTGCACTCAGATTGCCTCATACTTGCTGTTGTATAATGCTGTTTTTAGACAGTCATATTTCTTTACGGATCAGGGGATTCCATTTATTTTCTGTTAGTCTACACAGTCTGGAGAACACTGGTTGCTGTGCTCAGACATGTACTTGTCAAATCAAAATCCTAAGAATAATGTGGATTACACAGTGTTTAGTTACGTGGTTCCAAGCTCCTTTCTTTGGAAGTCGTCCTTTAAGCTAGACTGTTTTGGCATCCACAGAGCACTCTGTGGTGTCTCTGAAAGCAGTGATGTAATCTGATCCGTGTTGTGTGTGGTCTGAGAACCCGAGGAACATTTTACATTAGCTGCATTGATCGGGAATCCTTTCTAGCCATTTACTAGACAATTAATACAGTCTTGTAAAGTGTCCCCTGGGTGTCTGTATATACTTGATCGTTTACCCAGGACCAAAAGATGCATCAAGACAGACAAGAGTAACTTTAGCTGATTAATAGAAACAGGAAAATCTAAATCCACAGATCATATTACATTTCATACAGCCTGAAAAATAAGCTACGCTTGCTCTCTTGAAGTTTCTTTGAACCCAAGGAAGTATCTTTTCATAAATTTGAATTTTCATTGATAAAAACATGAAAACATAATTTAGATATCCGTCTGTAATTATAGTCTTATTTCTAAGTCCTGTGATCCAAGTCTGTCTCTCAAGAGTGGCAAACGTCCTCTGCATCAGTCCTTAAAGTAGCATGACTCTTTGTGGCTGGTTTTTCAATTCTAGCAGTTTTATGATTTTGTGTGTACACAGTGGCAGGGGTTTTGAAATACTGTCACCAGTGGAACTGTAGTGCATGTCAAGAAGTGCAGAAAGACCGTATTTCTGATCTCTGAGCCATGTGCTGGTCTGGATCACTAACGAAAGACTATGTAATTGATTTGCAGTCAAGCCTGCTGTAGTCAGCCTCAGAAGAATATGAAAAACTAGTTGTGTGTTGTCATTACCTTAAGGCATATCTATAAAATCCCTATACTATATCATAGACCATCTAAATCCCATTTAGATGTCCCTGATGTTTTCTATTTCATTTAAAATATGTCATCAATAACATTTATATCCATTCTTGTATTCAAAAAAAAGTTTAATGATTTACTCATACAAAATGAGTTCCTTAAAAGGTGTTTTCATAGATTCTTACCTGTTACAGCTTCTAGCCCTAAGGTCTTTAATGAGTGTTGCATGAGTGTACATTCCTGGTCTCTGGATCTTTGGTTCCTCTGGAAGCAAGTGCCTGAGAATATAAGAAAAGAATGAATTCTAAAATGTTGATTACTTTAATTGCAGTTGAACATTAGAAGTTCAGAGCTGTACACATTGCGGCATTTTATTAACATTATACTGTCTTCCTTCTTCATAATTTCTCAATGTACAGTGAAAGGGATCTTTTCTGAAAGTGAGTCTTCTGTCTGCAGGTACTACTGAGAGGGTGTGCTTGATCCAGGGAACAGTGGAAGCGCTGAACGCAGTTCATGGATTCATTGCAGAAAAAATTCGAGAAATGCCCCAAAATGTGGCCAAGACGGAACCTGTCAGCATCCTACAACCTCAGACCACCGTTAACCCTGACCGCATCAAACAAGTGAGTGTTCAGTTGTGAAATGAGATAGGAATACCCACAATACAGTATGAATTCCTTTCAGAGGAAGCAATCTAGTTGTAGTAGAAGAAGGCTTAAACTTACCTGAAGTTGTCATTTAGCTTTGAAGAATTTCAGAGCCTTTCGCAAATAAAAGTATTGATTGATTGAATTATATATACATTTATTAGTGATACAAAAAGAGGCACTAGTGTGACTCTTTATGATTTCTTTTTGCAAATATAAATCCAGGGATTTTCTTAACTTATGAAACTCTATTCTGTTTAAAATATAACACTTTTAAATATAAAAATGTAAATAAAATTTATATTTTCAATATTTCCAATGCCCAACTTTAGTGACATTTGTAGTTCTCAGTATAGGTATTGCATAGACTCCTGTTTTGTTAATTTGTCTTGTCTACCATTTTAATAACACGTATGTATAAGTCAATATGTACAGCTAGTGTTAAGTTCTTTGTTACCAATCAGCTATTGCATTTTGTATCGCATGTGTAGTACTTATATATGTGTTATAAAGGCCCAATGTCAAATTTTAATGTATGGAATTTTCTGTAAAGAAAATTTTTCGTGACAAAAAAAACAATGTGAACGTTTCAGACTGAGTAATGATTGAGATGACATAGGGAAATAACAAATTGCTTGATGTTAAATAAGATGGATTTTTTACCATAAATACTTTAGACATACATATTTGAAATTTATGTTCATATTATTGTCTACTTTTTCCCTCTTATTTAGCCACTTAATTTGTGAGCTAGTTTTATTATCAACAGATTGTGATTTTAGAATAAATGTATTATTTATAAATTAGCAGAAAATTTATTTTCATTGTAATAAATTGAAATATAGTTCAAGGCTCTATTAATTTCATGTTTCTGAATTGAAAAATATAATAACCAGTGCTATGAACCTATGATCTTATTAATATGTAGATAAATATAATACTAATCATATGTTAACTTTAAAATTTATAATTACAATATGCTAAAATTATAGACTAATACTCAATTACCTATTAAAAATCTGTTTAAAAATACTTCCTTATTTAAACCATGAGATAGTAGCTTTTACTCCATATAAAGATCACTCATGAGATATTCCATCCCTGTTGAATAGTTGTTATTCCAGAACTGTAGAGGAGTGTACCTCTATGGACATGTGGCAACATTTGCATACCTTAAAGTTATACATACTAGTACTTCTTTATTCACAATAATTTAGTAGTGTAAAGTGCTAGGTAAATATAAAACAGTACAAATACTGTTGACTTAACAGTGATACAGAGACTTAATCACATAGGGAAACAAGGTGTCCAGATGGCAGACATCGGGTTAAGATCATGTGGGGCTAGCAATGTCCTGAATGAGCACTGAAGTATCTAGTCTCTTTACTGTCTGTCTTAATCCAGTCTATTTCTTCTCCCTTTTCTCCTGTAACTTCTATGAAAACATTAAAATATTTAGGTGGCCACTTTGATGTTTTTTTTTAAAGAGACATAAAATTATACCTTGAATAGTATAAAACTCTATCTAGAACAGTAACATGAGATTTCTTTTAATATTTATGTAGCAACAAATACAGAGAGTACCATCAAAAAGTAGTCTCAATCATTATTGAAGTTCCAGTTTTAGCTATGGCTATATGAGATTGACAGGCTGTCATGTATGCAGGACCAGTGTAGACTGATGGCTGCCACCAGAATTTTAAAGCATTTGGTTGATTACTGTTTGCGTTGTTCAAATGTTGATTATATTTAAGATAAGTTTTAAATGTTAATATTGATTTATCTAGTTTTTTATGTTTACATTCATTTATATGTCTTGATAGTCATGAAATTAAAAATTACTGTTAAACTCCATTTTCATGTAATCAGCAATGTGAATAACAGAGTTAATCATTACAAAGTTGCAAGTGATAAGCACTGAGTCTGCTGAGGCAGCATATTTAACAAACATTAACTGTACAATGTAGAAACTATGCCAAGTGTCTTAAAATTTGTAGGAGAAATGAGTTTCTTACCTACACAGATGCATCTTCTTATACTCGACATTCTTTAACTTTCCAGGTATCTAGTTTGCCAATTTACTATTTCGTTCCAAACAATGATAGAAGTAGTCGTCAAGTATATAAATTTCAATGGCTGTGATTTATTCCTCAAGAAATGATGCCACTTGTACACTATAAAATAAATATTTATAAAATAAATTATTTTGTCATAAAATAGATAAAAGTGGATTTCTTGGTATTTAGACGTTTAAATTTTTACCCACAGAATCTGAAGATATCTTGCTGAGAATCTTGCTCAGAACAAGTAATCCAACTTGCTCTAGGATTCATTCCCCAAAATAATTTCCTATCAAGTATTAATTACAAACATTCCTCTAATGGAAGATTATTTACACAATAAAATTGGAGTTAAGAAAATGCTGGAGCCAAATATATTTCCATATAAACAGATTCAAGTGAAATTATGAATTTTGCTTAGTGTTTCTATTATTATCTTTGTTGCTTGTTTTGTGTTGACAATTTTAAGCTTTTGCTATTTTAAATTTTTAAGGTATAATTTTACTTAAAATGAGAAATCAAATGTAGTTCTCAGAAAGTCAGATTTGAAAGTGCTGACGTTCCATCATCTCTTGTGGTTTTTCTGATAAATCTTGTCCTGCTTTGTATTCTAAGATACAGTTTACCAACTAGGTACATTTTATAAACCATAATACTCTATCCAAAGGTACCTATCCTTTTTGGCTGGTAGCATCACACAAGTATAGATTCTCATGTCCTGCATGTTCATCTCAGAAGGTCCCATGGCAGGACAGTGATGATCTCTATTTCAATGCCTGAGATCCAACTTCATGTAATAGATGTAGGTGATTTAGTTCTTAATCCTGGACCCTTTTTAAAGCCAAGCTATACAAGTAAAAAGGAAGGTAGGGCAACTAAAACATTTTCCTTACATTTAAAAATACCAAGAATTTTATGGTGCATTTCCAGAAGTAACATTCGTCAGTTTTGAACATCATTTATTCAAACATAAATTTATTAAAGTTCTTTGTAAAACAATTGAAATTATAGCTCTTGTACTTCATCCTAATTTTTCTTGTGATATTGCTTATCCTATGAAAACATGGAAGTATAAACAGTGTACCATAGATCTTAGAAGAGTTTAGTCAGGCAAGGAAGATGAAGGAAAAGAAGTTCATTTTAGAGGGGTGAGAAATGCAATAAGAAAGAAGGCTGTCCCTGCCCTTGAATAGTAGTAACAGGACTGACTGATTTGAACTATTTGTGCAAATATTTAGAGAAAATTAATGTTAAGTAGGATGGCGACAGACAAGCAATACCTGGTGTGTTTGGCAGAAGGATCTTATAAATGACAAGATTATTCCTCATTTTCTGAAAGAACTCCTTTAATTCATCTTAAAGATTATTGAAAAGTGAAGGCATCTCTTCCTTTTGCTGTTCTTTGTGCATAAAATAAATAATATGTGAAGGCTTATCCAGGCATTATTATTGGTAGTAAAATAAATATGAATGGACCAATAGACTAATGTTAATGTTGTAAGACAGACAAGGTGTTCATCAACCAATGGCAAGCTAATGGGACAGTTACTATTTAAATATTTTATTCTTAAGGACTAGTATATAAGGATTTTTTTGTAGAACACTACAAAACTTATGGGAGGTGATTAGTGGAATAATGGCTGGTTGGCAGATGAGCATGAAGAGAACAGCTGAGACCTGCTGCTGGTTGCTTTTCCTGCTTTATTTGTTTTACTTATTAGATGTCATTAACAACTGATTGTTACAGAATTGATTGAAGGAAGGCTACATTTATTCTAAAGTTTGTTTATGTTAATATTCTCTGGCCTAGCAAAATTCACATTTTAACATAAATTCATATAATTTGCTAAAGCATTTTAGCTCTTAATTTCTCAAGGCTTAGTTATATCAATATTTTACTAAATGTCTAGTATTAAAAAATCTTGATATTAGCCAGGGTTGGTGGCACATGACTTTATAGCCAGCACTCAGGAGGCAGAGGCAGGCTAATCTCTCTGAGTTCAAGGCCAGTGTTATCTACAGAGTTACAGAGCGAGTTCCAGGACAGGCATCAAAGCCTGTGTTTCAAAAAGTCAAGTATTTTAGGCAGAAACACAGAGTTTCTGTGAGTTCAAGGCTAGCCTGGTCTACATACCAATTTCTAGTCCAGCCAAGCTTATATAATGAGACCCTGTCTGTAACATAATTCAACCTAGACTATCTATAGAGAAAGGAGAAAAGAAGTGGGACTCAGTTACTGTGTCCTTCATGATCACTACTTACAACAGAAAGAAATAGATTAGAAAAATGTGTGCTTTATAGATTTTATACGTCTATCCACATATTGATATTATGTGGATATTTAATTAATTACATATTCATGATATATTTCATTGAGTAGCATTTCATAATCACTGTGTTAATAACTGCATAGAAATTTGATATAAATATTTTACTTATAAAATAGTAAAGAAAAATCGCCAAGCATTTATATTTATTTCAAAACAATTCTACCATGGATTTATAATCTATATCTGTGGACTTAAGAACAATTTACTCAACTATACCATTGGCATAATTAATAGGAAGCTTTAAATTAATGGCATTGTTTTAATACATTCATTTTCATCTCTTTATTGGGGGCAATTTTCCTCCTAGAATTTGAAAGAGCAACTGAAATGAAAACTACTTAGAATATAATTAGCATTGCTAATTATAAAGTTGAGTTGCATTTATGCATCAAAGGACCTGTATGAATAGTAGCTAGGAAAGCTCTTCCATTGCTCTGCCACTATTTTGTAGATATCTCACCCTAGAAAATACACCAACACTTTGCTGTGACATTGCAGTCAGCTCGTCCTTCAAATTGCACATTTGCGTAATTCTCACCTGTGTGAAATATTAAAATGTAGCTTCTTATCTTACTATCAAGCTTAATGATAAAACTTTAAGTTATTGGAAGCAAATTAATATATTTCAGAGGTTTAAATTATTTATTTTATTCATAGAAGAAAGGGAGAGCAACAAAATGAGTAGACAATTTTGATGAATATGAGTTGTATAAATTATTAATAAATATTCAGACTATATGAACATCATAAGGAATAGCAGTAAGGTTTTGACAGATCATCTGAATCTAAGTTATTACAAGTTCTGAGCCACATCAGGTTACCAATTTTTGCATCTACCTTTCTGGATTATTTAAACACCTCACTGAGGATTTGGATCTGAAACAAGATGATATTATCCATTACTTCCATTGAGTTTATTCTGATGAGCGTGGACATGTAGAATCTGGGTTTGGTATGACATAACTTGTATTGGGAAAAAGGAACCCTAGATTTGACATCTACTTATTTGTAAACTTGGACTGAGTGTTGGACTTAGTGGAGAACAATGTTTAAATGTGTGTAGTTCCTCCCGTAATTCCATGTCATTAAGCTAGATTAAGAAAATGAAACTTTCATACATTCATACAGCATGTGGTAATGAGACGTTATTAACAGTTCATCAGTTTATCATTGCACAGAAAAAATACATGTTAAAGTGGCTTTTAATGATGGAGAATAATATTGCTCTAGAAAATTGACAAGAATTACAAAGTGCTTCAATAGAAGATAAAATATTCGAAACTTTGAAAAGGAGCTCTACCCCTGACTTAGTACCATTTCCTGTTCTTTGTGTGATTTGAAAAAATTCCTTGGCTTGACACCACATTAGGTCGACTACTTCTTCAATTGTTTTAGGTTTTAAGAAAGAAAATATTTTGATGGAAAGACTTCATGAAACATAGCCTAATGCTGCAAATAGTCTTATTCTGTTAGTGGAAGGCAGTGAGTTGACACAGAACCTTCAAATTTATCACTGTTTTTTTTTTAACTGCTTTATCTAAATTGAAAGTTCTGACACCTTAAACACACCACAAACACGTTTACTTACTTTTCCTCAAACTTTCAAACCCCCATGGTTAGGCCTTTGTTCCTATCTCAATAGTTTTGATTAACATTTTACAAGATAATACATAATATACATTATATAGATTTGTCTAGGCTATAGAAAACTATCCCATTTGCCTATTAAGAAATACTCCTTTTAAAGGTCCCTGACTAGCCGTAATACATGGTTAAGTGCATTACTACACTTAAACAACGTTCTAAATTCCTTAAACTCTAAGGCGGGCTTGCTAGATATTACAGGTTTGAGAAGAATCCAGGTGAATGACTCAGTGAATATGAATGGCTCGCTGTGACACATCTCTGTAGCATATGCTTGTGCTTATAAGTGGACAGGAAATTCAGCTCCTAGTATCTTGTGACTATTTTGAACATGGGATGACAATACTACAATATATTACACTTTTTTCTATTTTAAATGTACCATTTAGCATAAGTGACAAAAATGATAATTTTAGAATGATGCCAGTTATATGTTTATTAATATGAGGCTAATGTTTACATTTTCAGATGGCTCTAAGTTTATTAAAATTAATATTTTAGAAGATAATGTGATATTAAGAACTCAGAACTACAAAATTAAATTGCTTTTGTATATGGATCCCTAAGTTCATGTGGAATCAGCTTGTTGGTGATGGTCAACATATTAAGTAGGTGGATACTTTTATGCCAAAGTAAACTTCATTTCACCACTTCTTCAAATCTCCAACTGTATTCATTGATAGGAAAATGGCTCTTCCAATTTTATTCATCTAACTTCTCGAATTTTCTTTGACATCTCTTTTTCCCCAAAAATTAGAGGGAAAGAAATGGCACTGCTCTTCATGCATATGGGCAGGATGCGTTTAGCACTCATGTGAGTTTCTATCAGTCACCATCATGGTTTCAAGTCATGAATTTATTTTTACATGCTTATGCATGCGTATTTACATGTATTAGTTACTCAGTTGATCTTAAGTTCCATTGAATTTGAATGAATAGGAGAAAACTTTGTTCATAGGATTTTGTTCTCGTTATATTACATTTTATTTCGTTTTATTTTGTTTAATGATCAGCTTAAGTCTCATAAAGGTTGATTTGCTCCTGAACTGCTTTGTTCCCAGACATTGCCATCTTCCCCAACTACCACCAAGTCCTCTCCATCTGACCCCATGACCACCTCCAGAGCTAATCAGGTACAGTATCATCCTCTCATCTACACCATACTTTCACAGCGATTGCCTGCCAGCTGGAGAAAAGGATAATGGTGGGTTAAGGATTTATTCGTTCATTCACATATATGCATCATGATCAGATTCCAAAGAATCTAACAAAGAAATATCAATCATTTTTTAATTTCACATGCATTTTAACTTCATTAACAATTATATTCAGGCAGTACCCTTAATTAGAATTTTTAGCCTATTCCTTAAAACTGTAGTACTTTACAAAGCCCTGAGGGTTAATGATTGAATTGGTCTTTTCATTTCTTTCAATATATCTTCCTAGGAGTTTTCATAAATAATTTAAGCATGTCCACATAGTTTATAAAATGTTTGAAAATTGAGCAAAGGTATATCTTTAAAGGTGAATATCATGTTACTTTTGAGACCAGCCTTACTGTGTAAACACTATCAACAATGAGCATTTCTAGCTTGAAAACTGGAGTAATTTTAGCATTGTTTAATAAGTGCGGACACAGTATATTTTGTTAATCCCAAACTTTTAATCACTTTTATTGCATAAGTTCACACTTTGAAATTAGAATTCTATCTTATTAGTTTGACTTGACAGCTGTTTTGAAACTCGGTATTTGCAAACCAGCCTTCAAAAATATATTTGTTGAGTAAAATAATTATTCAGATGTTTAAACACATTTCGTTTTATGTGTTAAATTTTGTTTAGATGAGAAGTACTTTCTTTATTATCTCTACTTTTCATTTTCAGTAAAATAAGGCTTCATGAGATTATTTAAATATTACCAGCTTATGTTTATATTTTTCATTAGTGGCAAACAAGGTATTGCTCCATATGTTGTATCTGGCATTTTTCGTATTTTTAATTTAAAGTCATCAGCATAATTTTGCTCATTGACTGATTCTAATAGTTTTGCAAACTCGGGGAAAATAAAATGACTTAAGCAAATCTAAGAAATCTTAGGATGCTGATCTGCAGTAGGAGTTTAGGTTTCTTTTTGTGAAATGAAACTTCCTTTAAGCATGAATACTTCACGGTGCTCTCATTTATCCCTGAAACAGTTAGGGTACATCAGAATGATGCATCCGTCACTTCTCTCTTAAAAACATGGTAGTGTGGGAGTGAGAAGAATGCATTTTCGGGGCTCCTTTCCTGCTTCTGTTCTTCCATGCTTTGGTCCTGTGGCATAGAACCTCACCAAGGAAATGACTGCCTTTTGTTTTAAATGTCTCCTGTGCTCCAGTAGTGTTTGATTACTCAACAAAAGCTGGACGGATGAGTACAACATAAACAAGACCAATGATTTTTCTCAAAGTAAGATGCTTAATAGAAAGCCAATCTACTAATTTTGTTTCTGAAATAAGATTTGTAATTTACTTATATGAATGTGGATTTTTCTAGAATGTTTTCTTAAGAAGTAAACTATATCTACTTTCTTATTGATGCTATATTTTATGCTCTAGATATATTATCACCTTTGCTTCTGCCAAATCTGCTATTGTAATGATTTGAAATATAGGCACTGTGATTTAATATTCTATCTACTGTGCTGATGCATTTTGTTTTACATACTGTTTTCTTTTTTGTTTGTATTTTTTCTGTTTATGTACAAAGAAGCATAGCTCCTGGATCACATGAAGCAAGTAAAATCCTTAATTTATTGAAAGAGTTGTAGCTTCTCAATAAGATTTCATTCTTAGTGATTTGTAACTCTCCACTGTAGTCCTTCGTGGTAGGTTCTCTCCAGATGGCCGTAGCAAAGGAATGTCATCTTCATTCACTCACACTCTAACTGTTCAGCACCTAGTCCTGTCTTCTGAATTGCCCTTGTAAATTTCCTAATTTATGTCTATAAGTATAGTCTGATTAGGAAAATATGACTCAAAGTAAAAATCTTAAACTTTGCAAAAGTAAAATATTATGTATAGAGATGGATAGATATATGTATACCAATTTAAACTTAGTTCATGTTTACTAGCTATTATCAAATGTTTTTAATCTTATAAGCAGTAGAAATGGAGAAAATCAGGGATTTCTATTTTAGATTAAAAACCACTGGATGTATTATAGCTCATATGATAACCCTGCTGTAAAAGCAGGAGGAAGAAATCTTCTCCAAAGAAAATTAGTATAAGCAAAGCAGATTACAGTCATGTAACTAACATTTGTATTATTTTCTAATCAATATTGGACGAATGAATTTTGGTCAGGTTCTCATTTAAGATTAATAGTTTGTGTTACTTACTGATGTATAGAAAAAAACTAATGAGCTGTAAATAATGCAGAAAATCTAGAAATGAAAACCCAGGCAGTAATTCAGAGAATATGTTTTCTCTGCAGAGCCATCATTCCAAAACTTTTCATTCTGAAGATTATCATGTTTAGCACTTGAATTTTATCTGTATTATGATTCAGCCTCCTTAACATGTTCCCTTGAGTCACATTCTGACACTATTGTTCAACAGTAGTTCAATAGTATCTCCCCTTGAATACTGAGGACCCACTGTGAGAAACCTCATAAAGTGATAGAGAAAAGGGAACACTAGAACAAAGTGTCTGTAGTGGAAACTTTGTATAACCATTTACCTGTCCAGCGATCCCATGTGAAACTCAAATGCTAGGGTTTCTTAGGGCTGACTATGAAAGTCCCAGCTCTTTCCACAGTGGTGCAGTGCCTGGGTGTGTTCATTTAAAGGCACTGTGAAAAATATTAGACGCTAAAAGTCAATTACTTGGTAAATAGCTTATTTTGAATGCTTGAGTTAACAACAATCTAATGCTACTGTTGTCTGTTTCTGAAGTCTAAGGTATTTCCAATTCCCTGTCCTTAGCTTAGTTCCACAATCAGCATCTAGAGAGCATGCAGCGCTCTTGCTTAGCAGTAAAATGTCACAGTCTCTATTGGGAAGCAGTTGGTAAAGCTAACACTGCTACGCTTTATTTTCCTTTTATGTGTTTCACATTTTAAGATGAATGTTTGCAGCTTTTTCACATGTGATATGTTCAAGTGAAGAAAATATAAAGCAAAGAGAATTGGTTAAACTTTCAGAAGCGTTAACAGGATCAGTAGCATTTATCAGTTCCAAGATGATGCTCATTCCACTCGTTGTCTCCTCATAGTTTTATACGTCAGTCAGCGATGCCTCAGTATTAGAAGCAGGGCACAGATCACAGGTGCAGGCCTTCCTGCTGTCACTCTTACTGCTTCTCCTTTCCCGTCCCGTAAGCTTATGGGTACTTCCCTGAAACTGACGCCATCCAGAGAACCTTCTTGAACTGATGCTGGCAATACTTACTAGGCCAGCATTTCACACCCATGCCTTTTGCCTATTCAGTTATTTCCACAGACGTCTCTCTCTGTACGAGAAGCATACCCTTTCCCTATTACTGAATGCTATCCTTTCTTTAACTGTATCCTATGTCAACTTTTGACGCTCTGTAGAGATATGCCAATCTGCATACAGTGTTTTCTCCAATCTTTTTATTTAATCATTGACCCTCTCATACATGTGTGCAGCATATTGTGAACATGTTCACTTTGGGCCTTCCTCTCTTTTCTGCCCTGCCACTCCTGTTTTTAAAACACAGAACTGCCTTCTCTCCTTATCAACTCTTTCCCCCACAAACTAATGTCTCTTCTGTTACTTCATAGCAAAATTCTCACAAGTATCTCTAGCCTGTTTCCCATGTCTACTCCAGTCAGGCTCTTACCACCACCGCTCCACTAACCTTCAGTGGACAGTAATTGTAGCCTCATTGCGGATTCCAGGAGTTTGTTCTCAGTCCACATGTTCGCAGCTATATGTGTCCCATTTTGTTACATTCATTACTGTGCTGTGCTTCCTGTAGTGTCCAGAATTCTACATCACCATGCTGGCTCTGCTCCTGGCCTGTTACTGGTCCCCCCCTCTTGTTCCCACTCACTGATGGAATATCCTAGTCTTATGAGCATCATATATCTTGCCTTTTATATACTGTTCTGTGCAGAATGCGTGCTTTGAGATTTTGTGCTGCTTTCAGACCTTAAAAGCTACTGTCTAAAGAACATTTCTCACAGATACAGAGGCTGGAAAGCCAACAGTCAAGATGCCAACTCTAATGAGAGCTTTCTTGCATCATATTCACATGGCAGAGGGCAGAGAGGTAGAGAAAAGGACCAAGGCAATGTCTTCACATAACAGAAGAGAGAGAAGCCATCCCTGAAAACGTATGCAATGTAGTAGTAGGAAGCCACAAAATGTAGTCACTACTGAAAGGCCTGACCTACCAACACTGTTGCATTGGGATCAAGTTACAGCAAATGAATTGTGGAGAAGAACACACTCTCTCTGTCAAACCACAGCAAACGTGAAATAGCAGAATCTTTTTGCAGGCTCTTATAAGCTCCGTACCATATTTTGATGTTCATGGTTTAAATTTATAATTTCCCAAAGTTTTTCCTCAAATTTAAGCTTCACGTCACAAGTACCTTGAACTCATCTCTCACAGTGCAACCCCACACTGCCGACAGCTGCCTGTTTAATGTACACATCTAACTGCATCCTTAGTACAGTAGCTCCAAAGCCCGCCCTAACCATTGTCCTTTTAAAACTTGTGTTCTCTTGCCTACCTCCGAATACTGTAAACCAGTTTACATGGTAAAATCCAGCATACCCAAATTTGCATCGGCACTGGTTAGGGTCTGCCTCAGAGCACACTGCCTCTTCTGTCGGATCGTGGCACTGCCTCTAGATCACTCTGGGCAGCCACACCGCACAGCTGCTATTCCTTTTAGACACTGGCAGGTCCTTCCTCAGTGCTCTGCCCTCGTTTTTGTCTGTGGTTTTTCTGCATGTGAAATTCTAACCTCACAGATGTGCTTTGTTAAGACCTTTGTAATCCTTCAAGATTATTCCAAACTACCTACTCAGGAGACTACTTACCCCTGTTTGTTACCCTGTCTGGCCTCGCTCTCTTCCCAGCACTTCTGATTGCCATTGTCATGCTGTTCTTTGTTGCT